TTTTTCAGTAGGCAGACTAAACATACATACTAACATATATACTAAAGTCACAAAGAAATAAAATGCAAAACTGTGTATAGTACATTCAGATAACTTTTTTAAATGTCAAACTGTCAATGTCTTCCTCATGAGAAAATTAGAAATGTGTTGAACTTTACAGCAGTTGTTTCAGGGTTTCATTCTTTTAATTGTCTTTAAATTAATACAGAGGAACATCAAAGTGTTATTTAATATCCATAGAATCCTTATCACCTATATTTTTGTCTTCTTTTTACAAATGAAATATCTGAGATTCAGGGAGTTTACGACACTCACTGAGATGGAAAAGTTATTAGAGAAACCAAGATTCCAATCTGGGTGAAAAATCATAATTATAAACATATATACTACACATGCATGCATGCACACAAGCACAGTCACCATTTGGAAGAGGAGATTAAAGCAAAGTGACTCAGTTATACATATACATACATATATTTTTTCAGATTCTTTTCCATTACAGTGTATTACAAGAAATTGAATATACTTCCCTGGGTTATAAGTAGGTCCTTGTTGTTTATCTATTTTATGTACAGTAATGTGTGTCTATTAATCCCAAATCCTAATTTTTATCCTTCCTTCCCCTTTCCCCTTTGGTAACATAGTTTGTTTTCTATGTCTGTGAGTTTATTCTGGTTTGCAATTAAAATTTGTATCTTTTTTTAGATTCCACATATAAGTGATATCACATGATATTTGTGTTTCTCTGTTTGACTTACTTCACTTAATATGATAATCTCTAGGCCATTTAAAAATATATATATATTTAAAGCACCCAGCACAACATTTAGCAAATGGTAAACATACAACTATTTTTACCGTAACTATATCATTAGCATAACACCACCAGCCTTCTTTCCATAAGTTTCTGCAAAATGGATAACAATGGTATTTGGTGCATCCCATATTAAAGAAGATATAATATGCACACACCTATTCAAACTATGCTTTTTTATCAATATATCTGGATACATATGAGCCCCACAGTACTGTCCTGCAGAATGGCCCACGCTTGGATCATTTCCTCATTTTTTTTTTTAAACAAAGCTGTTCCCAGTCTGTACACTGTTTTCATTCCTGTATAGAATCTTTGTAAAGTATTTGATTCACTTTTCTACATTAATTAATTCAAACCAACGTGTGCTAGAGATAACCATGGCTCTAAAGGCCGTGTTAGATGCCCCTTTCTGGGCTATCACCAACAGTAACCATGGCACCGTATCTCCCCAGATTGCAGCTGTTCCCTGCCCCAGTACTAACATTTATGTTTACTTACTGAGTGTTTTATGTGTTGATCAACTTCATTAATTCATTTAAACCTTAGAACAGCCTTATGAAGCAGATATTCTTATTAGCTATCTTTTTTCACATAAGGAAACTGAGGCACAGCAAGTTAAATAACTTTTCCAAAGTCACAAAAAGTATCAGTAGCAGAACTGGTGTTGGAATCTAGGTACTCTTTTTCCTATTGTTACCGAGTATATTTGATTTACAATGTTGCAGCAGTTTCAGGTGTACAGCAAAGTGATTCAGTTATACATATACATACATATATTTATCCTTTTTCAAATTCTTTTCTAAGTTATTATAAGATATTGAATAAAGTTCCCTGTGCTATACAATAGGTCCTTGTTGTTTACCTACTATATAAATAGTAGTCTGTGCATGTTAATCCCAAACTCCTAATTGATCCCTTCACCTCTACCCCTTTTCCCTTTGGCAATCATACTCTGTTTTCTATGTCTGTGAGTCTATTTCCAGTTTGTAAAGAAGTTCATTTGTGTCATGAATCTAGGTTCTCTTAACCATCATACTCTACGGTCACACTGAATTCAGAGGGTACGTGCTCCTCTGCTTTATTCTCCATGGACTCCTTCTGTGCCTGACGTGAGGCCTGGCACATCGTGGACGCTCAATAAAGAGCCACTGAATGGCCAGATGAGCCTCCTTTTCATTTGGTATCTTGCAGATCTCCAGGCCAGACTAAGTATCGTTTGTGTTAAGTATGTGTGGCTGTAGATGGCAATGCACATAAAAGGTAAGAATTGCAAGATACTCCAAAGCAGTGTCATCGACTCAAAGTCACACTAATTGGACTCAGGAGTGGGGCTTCCTGGATCCACCTCCCGCTCCTCCTCTCACTAGCTATGTGCTCCTAGACGATTAATCTTTTCTGTGTGTCTCAGTGTCTTCACCTAAAAAACAAGAATAATAATTTTACCTACATCGTAGGCTTGCCGATAAAACCTAATGAATTTTTAAGAGTAAAATAAATAATAAAATAAAATAAAATAAAACAAGCTTCGCACTTTGACTGTCTCCCAATAAGCTGTGAGGAAATGTTACCCTTAGTAGCACTCCGCTGCTGGGAGAGTGAGCATCAGAGGCTTTAAATGACGGTGTAGTTAGTCCAGTTGAATGAAGAGATCAGTGCGATTAGTCCTGACATCAGGCCTGCCAGGGATACATAGTCTGCCATTTTGTTTTAAACTAATGACCTCATATTATCCTTTCATGCTACAGAGTGAACATTCTGACTAGCATAGGCTTCTGCTGAATCGGGATGTAGGGGTGAAAGTTTGATGTGTTTCCAATATGCACCAGGGGAGGTGAGTCTCTTGGGGCCTGGAATCAAGCCCCTGTGGGTAGTGACGTGGGCCCTCCACAGCCCGTGGTCACATCTGGAAGGGAGCGTCTCTCCTGGGACAAGAACCACTTATCCCCTGAGAGAAGCAGAGAGGAGCATTTAGAAAGCACCTGGTAGGGAGCCAGCAGGGGCGTCAACGCTCAGACTTCTCCCTTGTGAGGCTCACCTCCTTGAACTGTCTGATTATTTTCATTCGACTGCCCCTCTCTCTCTCTCTTTTGTTTGATTAAAAAGCATAATGCATGTTTTATGGAAAAGCAGAAAATGAAGGTAAATAGATAATAATCTTCCCAATCTTTCCTAACCAGAAACAACTACTAATAAAATTTCCATTAATTCTTCCAAATATGTTTTCCATGCAAGTATATGCATGTTTAACAATAATATTACATCTTAGTGTTTTTACCAAGAAAAAAATTGAGACCATGCTACCAACACTTTTTATATAACGTTTTGTTTGAAATACTCCTCTACAGTGGTTTACACATTCTTCTAAGCTATCCTATGCCAGAAATCTGCTGTTGCAGCCACATCTCCTTTTTTAATTAGTGTAGGTTTTTTTTTTCAGTTTTTTTCTTTTCTTTTTTTAACATTTGAGAGATCTGCTTTATTCCTGTACCATTTCTCTCTTTTTTTAAAGAAATTTTCAGGACAGATAATCTAAACTGTACTAGAATTCTAAATTTATTTTTAAATCATTGTTCTGTGTTTCCCTAAATATTCAGAATGAAGCAAAATGAACTGGGAAAAAACAATACCTTCAATATTTGTTCCATCTTTTCACCAAGGCACATGATTTGTGTCCATTCATTCAAGTGTACATCTAAGTAAGTATGTGATAAGGAGTTAATCTCCAAAATATGAAGAAACTCCTACAGCAGCAAAAAACAAAAACAAAAACAAAAAACAACTGATGACTTCATTTCACTGTGGGCTAAGGAATTGAAGTTTCTCCAAAGAAGACATTCAAATGGCCAACAGGTATATGAAAAAAATGCTCAGTGTCACTAAATCATTCGGGAATTGCATATTGAAACCACAATGAGTTATTATCTCACATCTGTCAAAATGGCTATTTCCAAAAATACACAAAGGCTGGGAGGAGATTGAGAAATTCAGACCCTTGCACACTGCTAGTGAAAAAGTAAAATCATGCATTTTCTATGAAGTATGAAGATTCCACAAAGAATTAAAAGAGAGCTACCTTTGACATAATCTTGGGGAAAAGAATCATTTAGCCATTATGACAGCCTTCCCATGGTAATAAGTAACTTCCTCTGTGATGATTCACCTTAAAAAGAGATGATAGAAACATATTATAACAGAATGAGGGAAGGGACAAATTTTGAGGATGTACATCTTTGGCTTTAAAAAAAGGAAAATTTGACTTTATTTATTTATTTATTTATTTATTTTTGTAAATTATGACCTGGTGTACCTTGCCAAAACTCTTTGGTTTGGGCCTTAACTAGTGCCAGACTATCATCAAATATCTGGTGACAGAAATCCTAATAGGTTTGTGCCCAAAAGGAAATTTTAAAAGTCTTGTCAAAACAGGACTTAACACCTCAAATCTGTAAAGTAACAGTAAATATCCTCTGAATTTTGGCCTTTCAGTATGCCTCCTGATTAAAACTTGGATCCGACTAGCATTCTGCTAAGCTTTCGACGGATCTCTTTGGGTTTGATGGAATAGATAACAGGATTGAGCATCGGAGGCACAAAGAGATAAATAAGGGACATGAGTGTGTGCACATGGGTTGGGGCATGCTTCCCATAGCGAGCAGCCATGGACACACCAACCATGGGCACATAGAAGATGAGCACAGCACACGTGTGTGACACACACGTGTTGAGTGGCTTTACCCGTCCCTCCCAGGATGCAACACCAAGTACAGAACGCAGTATGAACATGTAGGAGAGGAGAATGAGTACAGAGTCCACGCCAAAGGTAGAGATGACAATGAAGAGACCAAAAATATTATTGATGGTGATGTCACCACAGGGAAGACGGATCAGATCTGGATGCAGGCAGTAGGCATGGGACAGTACATTGGTCCTGCAGAAGGGCAACCTCTTCAGAAGGAAAGGCAGTGGGAAAACCATGCAGAAACTGCGGATGATGACAGACAAGCCCATGTGTACAACACGGGCATCAGTGAGCACTGTGGCATAGCGCAGCGGGTTGCAGATGGCCACATAGCGGTCAAAGCTCATAACCAGCAGGATCCCAGACTCCATAAAGGAGAAGAGGTGGATAAAGAACATTTGCGCCATGCAGGAATCAAAAGTGATCTTCCTTAAGTGGAAGCAAAATGTGGCTAGCACAGTGGGCAATGTGGAAAAAGACACGCCTAGATCATTAACTGACAGCAGGGACAGGAAGTAGTACATAGGCTGATGCAAGCTCTGCTCCTCCTTGATAATGAAGAGGATGAGGGCATTGCCCACAATGGAGACAGTGTAGAGGGCAGCAAGGAGCAGGAACATCCAGTGTTGGGAGGTCTCCAGCCCTGGGAGTCCTGTCAGGGTGAAAGTTGGCAACTCTGAGCTGTTGTGAGGGTTAGCTCCCATGCTGGGACTAATGTGCAGACTGTAGGACCACTATCCTGTAAAGACAAACATCCAGTTTATTCATGACCTAGACCTGATATTTGAAGACTCTCATCTACCATCCAGCCCCTCACTTTACACCATTAATCAATTCTGTTCACCAAATCACTCATTTTTGTCTCTTTTTGTCACCATCATTTCTAGACTTGTCTGAGATTTTTCAGTTTATCCAGCTGGTTAAACAGGTCTCATTGCCTTCCTTGACACCCTTACCTGTTTCCTCTGTGCTCTATCTCACATTCAAAGCTATGATCTTGTTATCAATCTGTGGGCATTTCTTTCTTCAAGACCTAAGACAAAATTCTCCTGATGACTGCTGCCTTGACTACTCTGCCTTCCTGAGCATTCCACTTTTTCATCAAGCCATAAACCTTTCCCCTTCCCGCTCTCTTTCTACTGAACATTTACTGCCTTATGATGACGCCCCCAGCTTTCTTATTCCTGTACAATCTTTCAGCTCTTCGATCTACTCATCCAGACTGAAGACAGATGCACAGAAAGATACCCATCCCTAGTGAAAGCCTTCTAGAGATTCATCAAGATGCACTCGACTGCCGTATTTCCACTCATCTTTTCATTCTTCTATCCATTTATCTTATGGCATTACTTTTCTTCGTGAACAACTTCATTTACTGAAAGTCTTCTCTTAATAATTTCTTTCAGATCTGAATAATACCTAGCTCCCTAAAGCCACTGGATTAATAAGCAGTTCGCAAAAGGAATATATATATATATGTGTGTGTGTGTGTATAACTGAATCACTAAGTTGTAATCAGAAATTAACACAACACTGTAAATCAACTATACTTCACTAAAAAAGAGAAAACCAGCCCCCCCAAAATATCATTTCTCTATACCATGGAATTGCCTCTCAGTGTTCTCCATCTCTCTGAACAATACTATCATTATGCCTAAGACTGAGACTCAAAATCCAAACATCATTTTGACTCTTTGCTTTACTATTACATTAAAAGGGGTAACAATCAATGAAAATGCTGACCCCTAAGTGCCTCTGCCAGCCTTTGTCCACTTCCTTCCACTCAGTCTCATGCTTCAGATCCAAGAAATCACATTCTTGTACCATAATATTGCCCTCCTAATAAATCTCACGTCTCTATTTCATTCTCTAATCTGGAGTAGGACTAATATTTTTAAAGGACTAATCTGAAAATGGCGCTGTTCTAATTAGAAACCTTGAATGCTCCCTTACTACCAGAGGGTCAAATCGAAGCCTGCTGGCCTAGAATTAAAAGCCCACTGTGGCCAGTACTAAATGGATATTTCTGGTCTCATTCTAAAAATTTCCAGACTTGTACCTCCAGATATCCAGATGGGTCTATTTGCTATTATCCAAGCATGAATTACAGCTCCCAGATCTCAGACTTGCCCAGAATGTGTGGGCTATATATTCAATCCATCTTTCGGGGCCCAGGATCGGTGATGCCATCCTCCATTCAAATTTGACTGGTCATTGCTAGAGGAGGTAACTTCTCTCCATGCCCCACCACTCCTACAGCTACAGGTTTACATCTTCTTTTGTGCCCCTTTCTCTGCCTGTTCTGCCTTATAGCTTTCTATCATGCAGTTCTAATAATTCCCACAGAATCACGAATCCCATCTTCCCTCCTGACTCACCAACTCCAAGAACTCAGCTCTGACTTTTATTAATTGTTTCAGCCCCTGCTTGCCTAGCGCAAGGCTGAGCACAGGAGGTGCACTCAGTAAGTCACTGATCCCTTCCGGTTTGGGGTTCTCTTCATTGTAAATTGGAGATGCTAAGGAACTTTGCTAATGGGGTTGCGAAGATCCAAAAGTGGACAGTTGCAAAACCTCTTAAGACCAAATACTATACTACTTGGAGTTCTAAAGGCTGCTTCAAACCCCCACCTCCAGCCTCTCAGCTGCCTTTTTAACTCCATCTGCATCAGGACTCTTCTATCCTTTCTTTTCAGGATTCATTTTTTTTCTCCATTACATATTCATAGAATCTCTGTGTTTCCCTACCTGCAGGCTCCTCCTAAACATTTTTGTTTGCCTCTGTATGCGATAAGCAGACCTACTGGAGTCTTTTAGCACTGAATAGGATCTTGACAAATGGCTTCTAAAGCAGCCATTGTCTTTTTAAATATCCCGTCTCCTACCAGATTAACTCTGAAAAATGCACACAAAGGTATCTACATCTAAAGTGTAGCCTGAAGGGGTTTCCATGCTGAGAAAGTAATGCCTGAAGCAAAGACATGGCAGGATTTCAGAGAACAAGAGCAACAAATAGAAAATAAAGAATCGGGTAAGTTTTAAAGGTGAAAATAAGCAGAAAAAACCCCAAAAAACTGACCCCAATTAGGGACAGTCTTTCCTTCTTCAGATTGTCACATTATAACACTCAGGATTTCTCAGCTGGGTCAGAGTGCTTTAGAGCCTGAGTCTGGAGTGTCTGACCCTCCAACTTACCTACCGGAGAGAGCTCTATGCACGGAAGGAAGGGCAGCAGTCGGGGCCCTGCATGCCCTGCCCATAGCCCCCCATTACCTCTGCCAACTCTGGCCTGAGCAATATAAGGCTGCATCCAGGGAGTCCCTTGAGCTTGCGTCAGCTCAGGAGCTCATGGGCCGCTGGGAATAAGGGCGTCTACTGTGCCCCGCCCCTCTCTGACTTGGTGTTTCCTTGCTCATAGGGGTATGCAGGAGTAGAAATAATCAGAACGGGAAGGGGTCTGCAAGAACATTGTATATAGCCCCTCGTTTTGTAGGAAGGTCTTAGAGCCTAGGAAGGAGAAGAGACATCTCAATTTTATAGCTTGTTAAAGATCAACGGAGAATGTAATAGAAGCATTTATTTAGGTTAGGAGGTTAGGGGAATCCTCCGTGGGGCAATTCAAGCTAGCAGATACTGGATAAGGATCCAGCCAAATGAAGGGAAGGGGAGTAAGGAGAAACTTCCAAGACTTGGGGAGCAGCACTTGTGAAGGCCACATGGGAGGGGTCAACTTTGCATATTCACGGAACTGAAAAATCTTTGTGGTTGCAACAGAAAGAACAAATGGCTCAAGATAAAGTTAGAAAAAAAGGAAGTTGTCTTATTACTCAGGGTCCTCTGGGCCATCTGAAAGTTGGATTTGATTATATTGGAAATGGAAATAATACGATGAAATTTTACTTAAAATATTTCTGTAATTTGTAAAGTAAATAGGAAACGGGCTGAATAATGTAGGGAGATCAGTAAGGACACTAGCGTAATGATCTAAGGTTGACATATTGATATTCTGATTAGAGAGTCACTGGGAATGGGAAGAAGTCGATTAAACAGATGTTTAGGAGGTAACACTGAAAGGACATAATTATTTCTGCAAGTAGAGTTCACTCCGACACTTATTTGTTGAGCTCTCGTCTCTCTTCCCCTGAACATCTCTAATTTATCCTTCAAGACCCAATCTAAACTACTCTTCCTGATGTTTCCTATTTATAGCTGTCCAAATGTCTTTCCTGAGGCAGACTGACACAGGAAATGACTTGTTTAGTCTCTTGTCCTGATCACTGTGAGAGCAGAGAGGAGGCCTATCCTCTTCATTCTTCTACCTCAGACTCCCTTCTGTGTGGTTCTCTCTCAGTGATGAACTCCCACAAACCAAGACAATGACATACGTGCACAATGTTATTAATTAACAATGAGAAATAGAATTATTACATGGGCAAAAATTTTCTTCCCAACTTGAATAGCACATCCTACCTACCTGGTAAGAGACAACCATAGTTACATATGAGGTGAATAAAGAGAAAGAGGTAAAGGGCATAATCATAAAATTCAAAACTTTATGTCTTAAATTCTGATGGACAAGCATCTTTCCCCAAAACCCTAAAACATTAACCCTGTAGTCTCCGGTGCTTAGTGGGCCAGTCATGTCTTCTTATAACTGCTTGATGGATGCTGTCCTTCAAGTCTCTTTTTTCTTTGCTCTAATCTCCTCTTCCAAAGGGTGGCTGTGCTTGTGTGCATGCATGCATGTGTAGTATATGTTTATAATTATGATTTATCATCCAGATTGGAATCTTGGTTTCTCTAATAACTTTGGCAATGATCTTGGCAAGTGTCTTAAACTCCCTGAATCTCAGATATCTCATTTGTAAAAAGAAGACAGTAAATATAGCTGATAAGAATTCTGTGAACATTAAATAAGACTTTGGTGTTCCTCTATAGAAATTTAAAAGCAATTAAAAAATGAAACCCTAAAATAAATGTTGTAAAGTCCAACACATTTCTAGTCTTCTCATGAAGAAGATGTTGATGTTTTGATGTTTTTAAAAAATGTTATCTAAATGTACTAAACATAGGTTTTTTGTGTGTTTCTCTGTGGCTTTAATTCTGTATGTTCGGTCTGCCTACTGAAAACTCCAGTGCTGATTTGAGGCATTATAAAATGTATTCATCAGGTTTTCTCTGATGATTAAATAAGTTAATCCATATCAAAAAACCTAGCATGGTCACAGACACTTTGCAGGTGCTCAACAAAAATCAGCGTCACTTCTCTCCCATCCAAATCCCTGGTAAGAAGAGATGGCGCTGACAGCGGAGATAGACCTTGGGGTGTGAATCAGGAATAATTATGCGCAAGTCTTGACTTTGTTAGCAACTTCATGGTGGATGTCAGCAAGCCTCTTACGCCTTAAAGTCTTAATTTCCTCATTCCACAATTTGGGTGTGATACAAGATGGTCCAGAGACTCTCTTAATTTTAAGACCTTTGAATTAGTATCTTGGGACTCAGCCTGCCCACACAGCCCTCAGGATTCCCAGAGCCAATTGGCTATCCCATCTTCTCAAATTATTTCCTGACAAATGGAAAACTGGCAAGTCATTGGAGTTCTGGTTCATGATGGCTTACCATGTAGTATTGAGTTTCATGGTCAACTGGATCATTATGGGCATTTGTGCTCCAATTTTACAAATGAGGGATTTGGAATTTGAGCAAACTAAGTAATTTTCTTAAGGACACTGAGACAGGGAAGGTGATGGTTTTGAACCCAGATCTGGGCAAAGGGTGACAAACTATCCCAGTTTGCAGCTACAGAGGGTTTGTCCCCTGTGCAGGCCCTTCAGTGCTAAACTAGCACAGTTCCAGGCAGACCAAGATAGTCACCTACTTGCTGACTATAATTATTTAAGCTCTTAGTGGTTATGTTGTTTTGTTTCTTGAAATCTCTTTGGGTTGTGACATAATTCATAGAAAGATCTCTAACTTGGCAATCAGGTCTGGGATTCAGTATAGTTGTTTTCTGACTAATTGAATGGATTCTCTTAGTTCCTCTTCTATATAATGATGCACAACACAGTTATAACTCAAATCTCTGAAGCGTGTAAGGGGGAGAAGTGAAAGGACACAGAGGAGCCGTCCACTCAAGAGTTTTCACATTCCCTGCTGCCCCAGCCACCTTGCTAAGTCCTGAAACTTACTGGGCCCAGGGGATCCTTAAGATGAAGCTTTATAGCTCAAAGGAAGAGGCTGGCTGGGAGGTTGTGTGCAGAGTCCTCCATGTTTCTCCCTAAGAGACCCTTCACCTCTCCTCTCATCACTAGAGCTGCCCTGGGGAGGTAAGTTGGGGCTTCAGCTCTCCCTTCACAGAGGTCTATAGGAATCACATTTATAGCTTCAAAATCCTAAAGTGATTTAAGGTACACTTATGTGTCTGTGATCTAAGTTTAGAGATTTTCTCTTCATTCCACTTCTGCCCTCAGACCAATATTCCTCATCTGTAGCCCTCAGTGCCTGAGATCCCCCAGTTGTTGTTTGGTGCAGTTGCTTCTGTGTGTTTAACTTGTACTCTAGTATTCTCACTGCAGGGTGGATACACAGCCAAGATAAAAGGAGAGCTTTTGTTCGGGAAACTGAGAGTGGTAACGCAGAGGACCAGGGAACCTCAGCCCCTAAATGTTCCTCTTCATCAGTTACCATTTATTTAGTACATATCTTGCACAAGAGTCCTGAATATGAATTTTAAATGTTTTACTCTGTACTTTGCTATACAATAGCTGTAAAAATAAAGTATAAAGAAGTAAATTAAATTCATAGCTGGCAGGTGCTAAAGCTTAGATAAAAACAGTAATTAGATTTTAGGAGAATTATTTACATTACCTGAATTTATTTTACACTTCAAAATGTGGGTCATAATACATTCTCCCTAAGATAGTTTATTTATCCATTTAATCAATAAGAATGAGAAGCAGTAATCTCTGAATCCTAATCCTAATCTACGCCCAGAGACTTGGCTAAGCATTGAGGATAAAATAAGAAGAAAAAGATGATTATGGGATCCTGTAATTCACTGGGGGAGAAAGATACTAATCAAATGATCAAACAGATATAAAATAATTAACTGTGATTCTAAAGTATGATAAGATTCATGAAGTATGTGTGAGGATGCATAACAGAGACATACAACCACGGGCAGAGAAGTAACCGATGATTGGAATCACTGGAAGATTATGTGTTCCAAGGTAGTGCATATGCTGCTGCATGCCATAGTAAAACTGTTCGAATTTTCACTTGAATTCTTGTTTTAAAAGAGAAAGGAAACCACTGAAAGGTTTTCCATAGGAGTGTAATATCATTTTATTTATATTATTAACAAATGATTTGGCTGCTTCGTGAAGAATGGATTAGAGAGAGGCATGACACTGAGCTGGGTGAGCAGCAAGAGAGGTTCTGCAGACATCCTGGGGAAAGATGCTGAGGGACAGAGTAGTGAGATAGATGGGACTGATGGATTAGCTGGAAGTGAGACAGAGAGGAGAACCGGTGTTAAGCATATTTTGGAAAGCCAGTAATAGGTTAATTAGACCTGAGAGTGGAAGAGTGTAGAGATTCCTCCTAAGTTTTTCTGGCTTAAGTGCATGGATAAATGCCGATGGATTTTCATGAGATAAGTAATATTGCAGAGGATCAAGTATGATGATTAACAGAAGTTCAACTTTGCATGTTGTGTTTGAGATGCTGATGAGCTATTCTAATTGACAGCCCAATAAGGAGTCAGGTGGGTTGACTCTATAGCCACTGAAGAGAAATCTGAGCTAGTGACATAAATCTGGGATAACTGATGTACAGAGGAGAGGTAAGAACATTATGAGTGGAAAATAATCTTGAAGATACTGGTTATGAAAGAGAGCAGAGGAATGAGTGATTACTAGAAGAATATGTGGGACAATAAGAGGGTTTTTTTTGTTGTTATTTGTCTTCTTTGAAATTGATCCTCAATAAGGAAAAAATTGGTGTAGGTACAACATACAAAACTGATAAGAGTGATCTAAATCCCTCACTCTCAAACTTGGCTGCCTATTGAAATTGTCTCGGAAGTTTCTTTAAAAAAATATTGATTTTTGACTCCCACTGCTAGAGATTCTGATTTATGGTATGAGTGTGGTCCAGGAAAAGGAGATTTTATTTTAAAGATCTTCAAGTGAATCGAACATACAGCACAGTTTAAGAATACTTAATCTAAACAGAGGGAAAATTAAGAACATTCAAGAGAGAAAAACCAAGAGCAATCAAGAGTGGAGGAGCATGAGAGTCTGGACACTTGGTGAATAAGTGAGGAACTCAAGCAACAAAGAGAGGATAAAGAGCTGGAGTGATGCTCAGCTGCAGGCAAGAGAGGGGACACAGCCCAGAGTACAGACAGAAGTGTCATCACCTGCACACACGGGAATGCATTAGTAAGTGAAGAGATGAAGGAAAGACCTTGTGGAGGTCATATCGTACCTCACTTCTTGAAGAAGATGATGGCTAGAATTGGTAGATAGAAAGGGCAAATCATTTTCTGATATTGGAGACAAATTTGAGTAATTTTGCCAAGAATACTGAGACAGGAAAAATAAGATATCTTGTCCAAAACAAGAGTCAAAGGATTTTGTGGGGAAGGGATTGGAACCTACACCCCATCTGCAGATATGATGAGACTGCAGAAGGCCTGAGATCTAACTGATGATCCCCCAGCCTTCTCCTTCCTAATCTTTCATGATCTTTGGTATGAAATGTAAGTAATATGTCCCTTCCATCCTGGACAGTGACCAATCCTTTCACTGTCTGACCTCATTTTACTCTGGTTGTATTTCCCCAAAAGCTACTCAGGGACCCTCATGGGAAATTTTGGAACCAACATCACGAGCACTACCAGCTTCACACTAACAGGCTTCCCAGAGGTGGAGGGACTGGAGCACTGGTTAGCTGCCTTCCTCTTGCTGCTTTATGCTATCTCCATCCTGGGCAACATCCTCATTCTCTTCATCATAAAGGAGGAGCAGAGTTTGCACCAGCCAATGTACTACTTCCTGTCTCTGCTGTCTGTCAATGACCTGGGTGTGTCCTTTTCTACGTTGCCTACGATACTGGCTACTTTGTGCTTTCATGTACCAGAGACTGCCTTTGATGCCTGCCTGACCCAGATGTTCTTCATCCACTTTTTCTCCTGGACAGAGTCTGGGATCTTGCTGGCCATGAGTGTTGACCGCTATGTGGCCATCTGTAACCCCCTGCATTATTCTACAGTGCTCACTGACACCCGTGTGGCTCACATGGGCATATCCATCATCATCCGCAGCTTCTGCATGGTCTTCCCATTGCCTTTCCTTCTGAAGAGGCTGCCCTTCTGTAAAGACAACATGCTGACCCATTCCTACTGCTTGCATCCAGACCTGATCCGCCTGCCCCGTGGAGATACCACCATCAACAGCACGTATGGCCTGTTCATTGTCATCTCTGCTTTTGGGGTAGACTCAGTGCTCATCCTCCTCTCCTATGCACTCATACTGCACTCTGTGCTGGCCATTGCCTCCCAGGAGGAGAGGCTGAAGACACTCAACACATGTGTGTCACACATCTGTGCTGTACTCATTTTCTATGTGCCCATGGTTAGTGTGTCCATGGTCCATCGATTCGGGAAGCATGCCCCTGAGTATGTGCACAAGTTCATGTCCCTGGTATATCTCTTTGTGCCTCCAATGCTCAACCCAATTATCTATTCCATCAAGACTAAGGAGATTCGTAAGAAGCTACACAAGATATTATTGGGGACTAGGTACTGATCAGAAAGAGAACTTCTAGAAATCCAGGTTTCTAAGAGTTTGTTGTTATTGCCAATGTTTGGGTTTACAGGCTAGTCTGTTGGATGGTGTCAGTCTCCTATACGTGGACCTAGAGTTAGCTATATGGTGTAGCCTGGCTATAATCCATAACTTAAAACATCAGGCTGCCCTACTTTGTACTTAACTGAACCACAGGTTTCCATCAATGATTTCTCTCAGACGCAATAAGGATGAGTCTTCAACCAGACTCTTTTATTTGTTCTAATATACTAGTGTCATCTATACTTTTAAGTAAAGCTCAAAAACAGACAAAAACTGATGCATACATATAAACCATGTTATAACTGGGGGTTATGTTACTTGAGGTCATAGGTACCACCCAATACTTTTATTATTCTGAGACCTATAAAATGGCACATATGTGCTTACCATACTGACGTTGCAGCATCAGCCTGGATTCAGAACTTTAAAAGCAGGAGAAAAGTTTTGTGGAAAACAATCATTTGTTGCCATGTCTCACGCATGATGAGGGGAAGGCTCACCTTTCTTCTAGGGAGCTAGTAACCACCATAATGGGAAGGAAACCATAAACAAAACAAAAAGACAACCTATGGACTGAGAGAAAATATTGTGCAAATCAACTCTAGGACCATAACAGGGAGCCAGACATCTTCTAGAAAGAGACTTAGCTCTGACTCACAAGAGTGGCCTCAAAGAAAAAGTGCTACTTTGAGCTGTTCCCATAGCAAAAGAGGAGGCCTTAGAGCCAGTGAAGCTGGAAAGCTACTCTGTTATCCCTTCTCAGTCCAAAGAATCCTCCTTCCAGTTATTCTGGAAAACCATCCTTCTTTATATATGGATATAGCTAACTCAGTACACAGTTTTGAGCAAACAAATGAAAGAAAAAAGAAATCAAGAACTAAGATTAACCCACAGCCCTGGGATTCCCATGTTTACAATGGAGAGTTTCCTTTAAAAATTTTTTTAATTATATCCTAATGCTTCAGTATCCAGACCTGAATATTAAAAACCACACTGTTGAGTGTGTGTTCAGAATTTTTTAGGTTTCCTTTTAAGAAACACTTCCTCATCTCAACTAAAGAACTGAGGAATCACAGAAGAAGGCATGAGGATGGGAAGAGTGAGTACCACGTAACAGGGAATGTATTTCTCTCAGCCTTTTGTGCAGTGACCCCTTCTTCACTGACTGAACACACGTGCGTGGAGTGACTACTCCAGGTCTAGCTCTGGGTTAAGCAGAGGGGATGTGGAGGTGGGTTGGGCCTGATTCTTGATAGCAAAGAACTTGTGACACTAGAAGGTGCTTTATTGCCTGTGTCTCAGCGGTTGAATACTCATGTGCAGAGTTAAGTTCTTAACAAAGAAGGGATCTCAACACATTTCTTTCTTTGTTACAGAAGGACTCACCTTCCAGCTCTTGGTTGGAAGAGGACCACTGGGATACGTGCATAGACACACAACCTATTTTTAGTGACTAGAGATTAGAGAGAAATTTGTTGAGGAGGCAGAAAATTTAAAGCTTTCCTTTTCTTGTTTTTTTTTTAACATCATGTGACTTTTTTTAATTTTTATTTTTGGCTGGGGGGTAATTAAGTTTACTTATTTATTTGTTTATTTTTTAATGGAGGTACTAGGGATTGAACCCAGGACCTCTTGAAAGCTAAGCATGCCCTCTACCAGTAGGGCTGCAACCTCTCCCTAAAGCTTTTATTTTCTTCATAGAGAAAAAAAATCCATTATATATATGTATGTATGTATTCATGTAGGTATATGTAATATGTGTTGGGAAACAAGCTGCTGGAAAACAAGCCACACCTAAATTTCCATGAGCTTAAAATATTATACTCACACTTGCTTGCTTAATATGCACATGCTTGCTTTGTTTTAATGTTTACGCAGTAGATGACCTATAGCACATATTATGCTAAAGAAAATTTCAGGTGAGCTATCCTGAGATTGACTATAAGCGCATGAAAGAAAGCAGATGTTTCCTTAGGGTAAAACAATGGACGGTCCTGAAAGGCCAGATCATCCATTAACAGAACTTTGTTCTGGCATGAAAGCATGCAGTTAAGCCCAGGGGAAATATTTGCTATCTCAAGATGTCCCGGAGGCAACAACAGGATAGATTTAGAACTTTTGCATACCCCAAGAAGGGTGATTGTTCCTGGAAGGGATGGGCCTGAAATTAATCAGTTAAACAGCAAGCAGAACTTGGTGCTTATCGGTGGGATATCTAAAGCCCCACCTCTTTGATCGCATTTTTTCTGAGCTGTTTACTCCTGATAAATATGATGTTGACCAGGCATTTGGGGACTCTCAATCCACAAGATTTTGAGTCCCCTGGTCCCACCTTGCTCTTTACTTTGTCTCTCTGTTTCTTAAGTCTTGCATCGCCATCCTCAGACATGGTCCTGAGCTGCGCTGGATGCAACATATGTGTATGTGTTTTACTGCTGCATAATAAATACTGACCAATTCCCTAATTAACACACTTGTAGGGAAAAAATGCTTTTTTTTATCTGAGATAAACTGTGTTTGTTCAAACTGTTAAAATGAATATTTAAGTAGGGATTGATATCTAAGTAAATTATAAGTAATGAAACTGTTTGTACTATTGTTGTGTGAACTAAATGTTAAAAGGCTTCTTTCAGGAATTACAATGAAAACACATCAGGATGGGTTTAAAAATAATGAGCAATTGTCTGGTTTATACCTGAGCTGTGTCTTATAACTCTCTTTTTCCCTAATAATCAAAAATCTATTTTTCTGCATTGTTCATTAAAATGTTCTTGTAGTTACTGGGTTTCCAAATGTTGAGGAGTATTTCCTGTGAATTATAATCCATACCTAGCTGAATAATTGGCATGAGAAATATTTCCAATCTACTGTCTATAAGCCAGTATAAATAGAGTTTTGAATATATTTGTTTAGCAGAAATTTCTTCATTTGAGTTTCAGATTTACTTTACTTGCCTCTTCAACATTTAGTCAAGAGTTGTTTATTAAATTCCTGATTCTCAGCTTTTTTGAGTTAAAATCCACAATAGATTTTGTTTTCACGAACACATGTCAAATATAGAAAACGTCATTTAGCACTCTAAGCTGTTTAACATTTCAAAAGAACTTGTCTCAGAGACATTGGACTTGAATATGGAGACTAATAATTAAATCTGACTCTAAACCATTGTTACCTATAATCTGTCTTTCATTGTAAATGCAGATTGTCACCCAGGAAACTTCTGTTTCCCAGTTAATAATATAGGATATTTGCCTTAGATACATCACTTTGGCACAGTTCACATAAATATTGGCCCCATTTCCACCAGTAACATCCCCCCATCACACTGCAGACATTCAAACGTGGTACAGCTTTGTAAGGAGGTATTTAAAAGGAATGCGCAGTTAGCAAACATCCCAGGAGACTTGACATTCCTCTTATATCTCTCTCCAGGTAAGTTTGTCTCATAAACGTAATGACAAAATTCTGTAACCACTGAGCCCTCAAACCTAACACCATGCTTACCACATTGTGGGTTTCAATAAATATTGCTGAGTGAATAATCAGCTATGTGTCTTATAAGCAAACAAAAAGCAAAGTTTGTAAGAAAAATACACTGTCACTAGAATTATATTCATTTCACCCCAAAATCACTATATTTTTTAAACCCAGGGTTGAGTAAAGGACAGTGACTAAATATTTGTGCTAAGAGGATTGGAAGTCAAAAAACACTTTAGGGAAGAATTTTCCTAATCAACATGAGTAACAGAAAATGATGAGAGATCGTGGTTGTCCAATAATCAGATCTATATTTTGGAATTCTATTGAGATGGGTTTGTCATCTAAACTTCTAATAGACTCTGCCACACACCAATGCTTTCGATGATTGATACATGACTCCGAAAATGTATAGAAAGTTTATACTTTAAACTTATAGAAAGTTTATACTTTATACTATAAGTATAAAGTATAAACTTTCTATACATTTTAGGATTTACTTTCCATTTGAAGATATCGGAGGCTTATGCAAATTTCAGTGAAATAGCAAATGTTTCCATGATGTCAGCTGACTCCTAGTTATTCATGTCCAAAACAAATTAATTAAATAATCACTTAATGGACAATATATCTACTTTACTTTCTTATAAATATTTGATCTACAAGTTTTCCATGGATAACAGAAGAAAAGGAAAAAAACACACTTATACTATAAATAGGAACACAAACCATGTATACTTAATTCTTGTATAGAAATCCATGGAACCAACTCTTGGTTTCTGACATTCCTGTAGAGTTACTGCTTGCTGAGCAGTCCTCCTCCTCCCCTGCAGAGGGTAATTCCTCAGCAGTGACTCCTGACTATTTGAGGTCAGGAAGATGATAATTCACAAAGTAATTGCTGACTGCATAAGCTGTTTGCTGATTCTATGAAACCTGAAAACATTTGGGTGCTTGTAGTCTACTCAGTTGTCTGGAAGGCATCTGGTTGCTTGTGCTAAATGTATAACCATCACCAAATAGACACTTATTAGAAAATCATACGAAATTATATAGGATCCTGAGTCCACACTATATCAGCCCATTTAGAAAATGTATCCAGTTGATACTGGAATATTGGATAGTCTCCTGATGAGGAAATGACCTTGGAGATAATCCTAGCTATGGAGACAGACTCCCCGACCTTTGATCCTACTTATCATCCTGTAAAACAGTATCTGCGGGAAGAGCACTCTCATCTAACTGAATTGTTACCGCGCAGCAAAGTCGCCTTGTCCTAGCAGAGCAGATCAGGCCTGGAGACGGCTTCAGTGGGCTCAGGCTGGACCTCTTTGTGGAACTGAGAAAGTGGGGCGGATGGTGAGCCGTGTCCAGGGGCCCATTCATCACCCTCTTTACCACCCTCTCCTTTGTAAGGTTCTCCCACTCCTGGGACCACGTGGAAATTAATTCCACACATGTCCAAGCAATGTGGATTTTGT